GGCTGGCCGAGGGGTTCCCGACCCCCGGCACGGCATCAGCCCCACTGACGGCATCGTGCTCCTCCCGCAGCCCCACGGCACCAGCGCAGCCCTGGAGATTGCGCTGCTGGACAAGGTCTCCTCTGGCTGTGCTGGTGTCATTCAGCTCCTGGAGTGGCTTCAGCTCCCCGACAGCTTTGTGCTGGTGCTGGAGCATCTGGAGCGGTGCCAGGACCTGTCGGGTTTCCTGGTGGAGCGGGGGTTCCTGCTGGAGGAGGAGGTGCAGGGGCTGCTCCTCCAGGTGCTGGAGGCCGTGCGGCGCTGCCCCAGCTGCGGGGTCCTGCACAGGGACATCAAACCAGGGAACATCCTGCTCGACCTGGCCACCGGGCAGCTGACACTGATCAACTTTGGCTGTGGCACTTTCCTCCAAGACACAGCCTACACCCAGTTTGCAGGTGAGCCCTGCCAGGGGATGCTCCTGGGCATCTCATGGCCCAGCCGAGGTGCAGCACCGGGGCTTCCCCTATTGCAGCCAGGATGGGATTAATGCTGGAACCAGGTTGATTTGGGTGGCGTGTGAGGGGGGCCAACTCCCATCCCTGCCGACAGCCTTCAGTACCCACTGTGCCCTGAGCTGGGGCAGCCAGCCCGACAAAAACCCCCATGGGGGTAGCAGAGAGAGGGGTCTGACCCCGTGCCCCAGACAGTTTGGTGTGCAGGTGAGGAAGGGCTTGGACTGCTCTGCTCCCCTTGTTTGCCTTGGCTTATTAACATTTTTTGGGGCCATGCAAGCAGGGAGGAGAGGGGGTTTTCTCCACCACTGGGTGAGTTTTTCTTTTGTGTGTCATGGTTGTGCCTTCCCAGGGTTTCTGCTGCCTCTTCCAGCACCAGTGGCTTCTTTTCCAGCCCCGAGTCTGTACACAAGTCCCAGGTGCTTGCGAGAGGGCAGCGGTCACACCGTGTGCCACTGGGGCAGCCCCCACGTGCCCAGGGATGCTGGGGCCAGGCTCTGGGAGCAGCAGCATCCCCCTGATGAACTGTGTCTGTGTTCCACAGGAACCCTGTCCTACAGCCCACCAGAGTGGATCCACCAGCAACGCTACCACGGCGAGGCAGCGACGATCTGGTCCCTGGGCCTCCTGCTGCACCACCTGGTCATGGGGAAGCACCCATTCAGGAGGGGCCAGGAGATATCTGGGGTCAGATCTTGTTCCCAGGACGGCTCTCTCAAGGTGGATCCTCATCTCTGGCCACGGTGGAATACCAGTGCTGGGAGACAGCAGCAGCTCGTGGGTGTCCTGCTCTGGCAGCTGCTGAGGAGGTGGCACATGTCCTGTTCTCCTGCTCTCCTCCAAACAGAGAATCCATGGGGAAGTTTAGGCCCAGCTCTGGGCACACCCAGCATGGCCTGGGCACGGGAACAGGGGGAACTTCTCCAGCTGACTGGTGATTGCTGGTTTCTCTCCCCAGAGTGCCAGGATGTCATTAAGAGGTGTTTGTCCATGGAGCCCTTGGATAGGCCATCCTTAGAAGAGATTTTCCGTGATCCTTGGGTGCAAGGTGTTCCTCTGCCCTAGAACATGGGAGAGATCCATGTGCACAGTTGGATCCAGGGGGCTGGCAGGTAACAGCTCCACACATCGCTTGGCAAGCAATGGCAAAGCCAACCAGACAGGTTTTGTCCTGCCTGTAGCTCTGAGCAGGGGCCAGCAGAAGGGAACACGCAGCTCTTGGGCTGGAGCTGAGCTGGAGACCTGGTGTGGCAAGCACTGGGGCCCACCATCCCCCTGGTTTTGCTTGCCATGTTTCGTGGATGGCTGGGGCCCTGGGCAGAGCCCTGACAGCCTGGTCTGGCCCAGGGAAGGAGAAGGAGCCCCTGGAGAAGCTGTCCCAGGTGGGACTGCTGCTGCTGGGGACAGTGAGGGTGATGTCAAGGATGACAACCTCTTGCTCCACCTGACCACCGGCAGGCTGAAGATGGTGGACTTTGATTCTGATACCTCCTCCAAAGCCAGGCTCCACAGGGAGTTTGCAGATGAGTCCACACACAGGGGAATGCTCCCAGATTTGGGCATTGCACAGCCTGGCCGGGAACCAAAGATTCCCCCTTTGCTGGGGCGGATGCAGCTGATCCTTCAGTCGGCTGCCAGGCTGCTTTTGGAAGGGCTGGGG